TGGATGAAGGGGCATATGAACCAGCCTTGCTAAAAGGAGACATTCCACATGCTTGTCAAGGACTCACTAACCAACTGGAAGAAAATTATAAATTAATGACTGATTCATTTCATACTGTGCTCCCACGAGACAAAGACTTAAATACCACGGCTTACAATAAAGAGATTGTCTATGGGAAGACACAGCAAGTAAAACATTCACTCCAACCTCCTTGGAAGGGACCCCATTAGATATTGTTAAGCAATCCAGGTGCAGCTAAACTTAAAGGAGTTCATGCACGGAGTCACATTTCTCATTTTAAAAAGGTACCTGGCCCCAAACGGACATCTGCCCCTGTCTGCGACACTTGCCTCCACCTACATCAAACATCAAAAACTACTCGAAGGTGAGAAGCCACCGCCAACTGAAGTGAAGACCTGTTTCCCAAAAGACTGGACCAGGCCTGTGTCACACCAGCCTTTACATAAACTCTTACTTGAATTTCTCGCCTTTATCCCTTGCTGATCTTGATTTATATTACAGGAAGATTGTCTAACATAATAAATAACAAACCCAATTGTTCCCCCTTTCCTTGCTCTCTCTTTCATCATTCTCTCTAATGCCTGGGAAGACATTTTAGTGAAACTCTCCCAAAGTTCTGCTAAGGAGGAAATCTAAGTGATTGCTAGATATGTCATCAAATTCCTAAATCAATAAGAGACCAATACTTACCACTAGTTGCACCTGTTACCAACCTTGATGCAGGTGGATATTATTCAAGAACCAGGGACGTCCATTCCATGCTTTCACCATTCCCTGTCATCTCTACCAAATTTGAGTTTAACTCTGCCCCCTCTCTGATCTCCTTCTTACTTGATCTCTAAATGTCTACATGGCAAAATTGAAAAGAAAAATATAACCAATATCACCCCAGTGGATTTTGGAAACCATGTAACTGGTTTCATTCTTGATTGAAAGGGAATCTCTCGGTCATACTTATGAAGGAATCTATAAACAAAAATACTCCAGGGGCGGTGGGGTGGTGGTGGTTTGTGCCCCACTCAAATTCATTTTTATTTGTGGCATAGAAGATCCCCCAGCTAAAGGATGGGCACTTTGATGTTTAAATAGTTGGCAAATGGAAGAACTCTGTTTATTGGGGCAATTCACCACTCCTTTATCTATTCATAAGAATCCCCTGACTTTCCATAGGACAAATTATTTTAACAAAGAGCTGTTTCAATAGAAGCAAAAACAGATCATAAGGCCCCAAAGGGAAATGCTGACTGGTTATGAGGACAGTATTGGTAAAGTATACTCAGCATACCAATCCCAAGAGCCAGAATATATATCAATAAAATTATGATTAAATTTTTATCTGTTACCATCAGAAAATTGCTAAAAAGATGGCTAAGATGATTGACCCAACAAAATCTCTATATTCTCTTGCTTGGGTTGCCCTTGACAATCACGTAGCCTTTGACCATTTGCTCATACTGCCTATTCCATCTCAGGGAAGCAGAGACTTAATTAGAAAAGGTCGCTTAACAAGCTAAGTGGCTACAATAAGAAAAGATGACCCCCTGCATGCATTGTTCAGCTGGCTACCTTCAGGATTAGCACATCGTTTCGATTTCTGTTAAAGATTGTTTGATATTGGTAGGTTTGCTGATCTTTTTTGTAGCATTCAAATCAAAGTCATTGTCTTTCCCACTGCTTGAAATCAGCTGCTCATACTAAAATTATGGTGGCACAAAGAATAGAAATGATCCCTCAAGCACTATGTCCTTTAGTTAGGAATGACTTAAACTCTTTTTCTGCTATACGTAAAGTGCTTGCATATCTTTTTGGATCAAAAAGATATAGACTAACTAGGCTCATAAGTCTGACTGCCTTTTGCCAATTGCTCATGACTAATGCCTGCGCCTTAATCAAACCCTGTTATCCATGTTAATACAAATGGAAACGGAAATGGCTATAATGTGACAATGGGTATAAACACCTATGGGACTCTTATGGTCTCCCTGAGCTTTGGAAATTATTAAATGGAAAATGTAATGTATGACACATTTAGTACCCAGCTAAATCCTAAAGTGAAATTTTCCATAATTTAACTGGATGGTAAAAAAAAACACCTATTCTTAATAACACTTTCCAAGGGAAGTAGATGAGCCATATTTAAAAACATGACAGCACATGGGAGCCCATATCATTGTCAGATTATGAAAATCAAAGATATAAACAGTTATTCTCTCAGACTATGTGAAATCTGAGTTTACCCAAACCTTGTCTATTGTATCTACCCCAACAAACAACAATACATGGTACATGGGAAAGGGACATTTTTGTCAGGAAGGATTAGAAAATTCCTCTGTTATGCTAAGTAACTTCTTTTGTAATAATACTAAATTTATAGTAAATGCTACAAAAATATGGTATAATATAGAGATTATAGGTAAAGAAACTTTACCTAAGGCTAATAAAACATAACAATTTTAACATTGAAAATCAAATGTACTGTGAGATTTAACTCAATCCATGAAGTTATTTATATGAAAACTGGTTAGGAGAAAAACTCAAAATTTAGATCATGAAATAGCTAAAAGTCTTCATTCACTGAGCCAAACCTATCATAAAGTATAGATGGCACTAGATGGAGGAAAACACATTGTTATTTTGGTAAAAAATATGGTGACAGGAAAGCCAAGATGGCAGCATAGGTAAACATCGATACTCGCCAACTCCCAAAACCACATCAAAATTACAACCAAAACACAAAACAACCATCATTCAGAACCACCTGAAAGCTGGCTGAATGGAAGTCCTACAACTAATGAAGTAAAGAAGAAAGCGCACTGAGACTGGTAGGAGGGGTGGGGGCACAGAACGGGCTGGTCTGACACCCACGTGTGGTGTATTTTTTAACCGGGAGGGAGGTGGTCTCTACAGAGGCTGCCCATGAGGAACAAGGGGTCCCAGCCCCACACGAGACCCCTAGCCCAGGGTTCCAGAGCTGGGAAGAGAAGTGCCCACAACTATGGGCTGTAAAAACCAGCGAGGATTGTGGCTGAAGGACACGGAGGCTGCTGGAGACCCAGGCGTTTCTTTTAAAGGGCCAGCGCAAACTTATTCAATCCCTCTGAGCTCCAGCACCGGGCAGCTTTGGGGGAATCCAGGGACATACGGGAAGGAACTGGATGGGGCAGGAACTTGGGGCAGCTTTCTCCCAGATAGGGTGCTCTCAGGAGTCATTGATCCTGTGCTGGGAGCTCCCCTGTCACAGGGCTGACTAGCAGCCATATCTGAGTTTCCATCAAGATGGCCCACACTGTTTGCTCTGCCCTGGTGATTCCCTGAGATGCTGCCCCATTCAATTTGCAGCTCCACCCAAGCTGTTTGCAGTAGCTTTTCCATATGAATGGCCTGTCTTGACTCAGGCTTCAGACTTTCCTAAAATCTATTAAACAAGCTGCAGCTGGTGACAGTGTGTCCTCAACCTATCAATAAGAGGCCCAAGACCCAGCACTAGCGCCAGCCTGCCTTGCATCACAGCTGGGCCTCACCTGAGCACATCCAAGCCCAACACAAATAGCAGCCATCAGCAGATCCCTCTGTAGCTCCTGCTGGGTAGCTGCAGGCAGTGGCCAACTCTGCACTCCCAGGAGGCCCCAGAGCCAGTGCACCCTGTGGACAGCTTCAGACCATAGCAGATTACAACTCTACATGCCCACCAGCGACACACTCAAGAGGCAGACTCAGTGAGCACCAAAGCCCCATTGAAGCAAGTCCTGTCCCATAGGGGTGTCTTCTGCACAACAGCTCTTCCATTGTAGACGCAGCTGGTCATCACAGCCAATTGGCCTGGAGGTCAACTCCTCTCAGTGATGCCAACAGCAATCAAGGCTCAACTACAAGACTGTGCACATAAGCCAACACAGGGGCACACCTAGAGTGCCCAGCTTAGGTGATTGGGAAGCCTGAGCCTCTGGGCCCTACAGAACCCCTACTATACAAGGCCACTCTACCAATTCCAGGACACATAGCAGCTCTGCCCAATACAAAGAAACGGACACAGGGAAGCAGCCAAACCGCAGAGACAAAGAATACAGGCCACAAATGAAAAAAATGGAAGCAAGCAAACTACTGGATGCAGAGTTCAAAACCACAGCTATAAGGTTACTCAAGGGTCTTCATGAGAGCTTCACGGGAATTAATGAGAGTATCAAGGGACTTAGTGGGACTTTCAAGGATCTTAGTGAGAACGTCAAAGACATAAAAAAAGACCAGTCAGAAATTAAGCATACACTAACTGAAGTAATGAATAATTTATAGGGATTCAAAAGTAGAGTAGAGGATTCTGAGAATCAAATAAACAATTTGGAATACAAGGAAGCAAAAAACATCCCATCAGAAGAGCAAAAAGAAAAAAGAATCTAAAAATATGAAGTTAGTGTAAGGAGCCTCTGGGACAACTTCAAGCATATCAACATCACATCATGGGGGTGCCAGAAGGAGAAGAGCGAGAGTAAGATATTGAAAACCTAGTTGAAGAAATAATGACAGGAAACTTCCCTATCTGGTGAAAGAAATAGACTTACAAGTCCAGGAAGCGCAGAGAACCCCAAACAAGAGGAACCCAAAGAGGACGTTCCCTCTCACCTCGGGATGAACTGCCACTTCCAAAGGAAACCGACTTGGGAGCAGCACAGAAGTGGACGTATTTTGGAATTGTGAATTTCCCTGCGTTTTCCATGCTTTTCTTCTCTAAGGGGTTATAACTTTGAATGTTTAGAGAATGACATGATGATTTTCCTCTAGGAAATAGAACCTTTGGAAAAATGGGTCGGGTTGGCTGGCTGAGCAAGCACTGGCTCCTCTGGGCAGGCGCCAGTGTCATCCCTCGGAGGTGTGACCATCCTCAGGCGTAAGAATAAACCCCAAGTGACAAGAAGTCAGTCACAGACTTGACTTATTCAGCAGTCACCCGGGAAACACATTGAAAATTCAGTTCAGCAGTAACCTTTAGCTGTTGGGCACTTTGGTGCCAGTTGTTTTCAGGATCGATGGCAACATTTCCCATCTCCTCGGCACTCTGGATAGACACCTTGTCAGTTACTCCGACTGGGGAGATCTAAGAGGGTGAAGCATGTAGCGTGCTAACTGGACTCGGGTTGGTCATAGAGCCATGGGGTTCCGGTTTCTAGGAAAAGGGCTGGTTTTATTTTCAGTTCATTTCAAGGATTCATGTTCATCCTCAGGGACCTGGATTGTTCCAAAGAGAAAGGGGAATAAGCAGTTTTCTCTTTCAGGCATGCTTTGAATATTGGTGCCTTGAGGTCACACTACTAATTACTTTAAATGCTCTACATACCCAGAGGACCCGGTTTTATAAGGGTTTTATAAGTTATCTGAACCAGATGCTGCAACTAATGTTTGAGCATGCGAGACAAAATAATATAATGAAGTAACACTACCCTGCAAGATGATAACAATAGAAGTGACATAGTATTTGATATACAGTGAATGCTTACAGTATGCCAGTAGCTGTCCCCAGCACTTAGCATCTATCAGTTAATCCTCAAACAACCTTATCAGGTAGGCACTATTATTATTACCTTTTATAAAATAGAAAAACTAAGGGACACAGAGGTAAGTAACTTGCCCAGAATCAACAGCTAGGAAGTAGTAAAGGCAGTGTAAACCCAGAGTCTAAGCTTTGCTAAACTAACTCACTTATTAGAAATATCGTCTTTGACTTGCAGAATTTTTTGGTTTGGCATTCAGTGAATTTGAAGGACATAGGTCAGTGGTTCTCAACTTTAGTAAGATATTAGAATAAACTAGGAAGTTTTTAAAAAAATATCAGTGCAATTAAGTCAGAACCTCTGGGGTGGTCCCACATATGGATATGCCTTAGCCACCACCACTTACGCAGGTCTAACCTTAGCCAGGTTTGGGAACCACTGATAAAGGCAGCTTTATTAGACGTGGGTCCCCAAATTCTGCAGGCCCTCCATTGCCTCCATGAGCTACCTGTTCTAAATTTAGAAAGTGAGACTGCTTCTGTCCTGCGTGGAATTCTGGGCACCAGGGAGCATTTCAGAAGCAAAGTTACAGTTATACAACCTTCATATTGGAAAAGATTCCGGAGGGGCTCCGGTGAACCCCTGGTACTTCTGTGCCATGTAGATGTTCACCCACTTGCTGCTAAATGCATGCCCCTCTCCTGGCAGAAGTTACCTGTTTGTCAGTGTTAGTACAGCTTTAAGGATCCTTGGGGAAGGAAGGAAGGAAGGAAGGAAGGAAGGAAGGAAGGAAGGAAGGAAGGAAGGAAGGAAGGAAAAGCCTTGAAGGGAGGGGAAGGGAATGGAAGGGAAGGGAAGGGAAGGGAAGGGAAGGGAAGGGAAGGGAAGGGAAGGAAGGAAGGGAAGAAGGGAGGGAGGGAAAAGAAAAAGGCGGCTTGCGAATATCCCCTTTCGGTGGGAAACCTGGTCCTTTCCACCGCCCCTTGGCTTGAAATGTTAGGTTCTTAATCTCGCTTCAGGCGGAGCACTTATTCCTCCAGTGAGCAGCCCACATGCCACAAGGCTCCTCCTTAGGAGCAGAAACCCGTCTTCCTCTGGCTCCTGTCCCTCAGCCCTCGAGGTCACATGGAACAGGCCAATCTCGCCTTCAGAAAGCACCCAGTGCGGCGGGAGCTGACCGAGCGCCTTCCTGAGCCTCCCCTGCCCGAGGAGCAGCGTGGGATTCCCGGGACGCCACTGGCGCTGGCCCTGGCCGCGGCTCCATCACCTGCAATGCTGGCCTCCCCTTTCTGATGTGATTGATTTCAAAATTTCCATTCAGGATTTTATACGGGTTTTGTTAACTTCCCCTGGGGGCTGTGGCGTGAGCAGCAGCAGGTGTAACACTGGAAAGAACACGGGGTTTAGGATCTGTCGTGTCTGCTCGAGTTCTCTGTCTGCTGCTTACTTTTACCTCACATTATGCGGACTGGTATTCAGTATGAAAAGAAGCAAAAACATTTATCAAATATTAAGTAGGAAGCAAGCATTTGACATTGAAGATCACCTCATTCCTTCCCACTCAGGGTGGCTTCTCTGGCGCAAAAAAGAACATTTTGTTTCCTTTATTTTTGAATGCAACCTTCTCTACCTGAATGGCTACTTATCACAATTACTGTACTCACACATATACATTTATGTATAGTATACACATGTGTGTGGGGGGACAAATAGGAAGTGTGGGAGTTTAGATACTTAAAGCTTAATCTGAAAATGGAAAAATAAAACTTTATCATGCTTGAATTTTCACTGCTGCTACCAGGATCAACATGAACTATTTGATGATGGCCTTTTTCTGAGTCCAATGGGAGCAATCAACAGGGTTTGAATGATCACCTGCTCTGCAAATGGAAAACTTCACGTGAAAAGTTGAACTCGTGCTGAGATGGAGAGTTTAACAACAGGTGCTGCCCAAGGTCGGGACCATCTCTCCTGCGTCCAGCTCCAGGCCCCTCTCGCAGGGCCTGGCCAAGAAATACTGGGCACTTTAGAAAGTCCTAAGTTTTACAACTTTGTCGTCATGATTACGAGTTTCAATCCCTTATTGCCACCATGTTGAAAGGAAGCACAGCTCACTGAAGAGGACAATCAACTCTGTCTGGGAGAAGTGAAGGCTAAGATTGTAAGAAAAACACAACCCACCCAAACAGGCAGCCTAAACGGACAAGGAAACAACCCTTTTTCAAACCCCAGACACACAGGTCTGGGATGAGCTGTTGTCTGGAGCCTCAGAGAAAAGTTGGGCTTATGCCTTGACCTGCCCCTGGGCAGTGTTACCCTGTGGCTGCTGCGAAGGGGGCTTGGTCAGTAATTCAAGCTTTCCCTGGTGACACTCGTAGATTGGCAATGACGGGATCCATTGTATAGCTTAGGTAAAAGTTTACAAACTGAACATACATCGTCTGACGCTTCCTTCCCCAGAGAATGTAGGATGCAGGATGCTCCCATAGCGCCGTTTTGCGGGAACTCGGGTCTGAGTCACCCAGCAGCGTCCTGGGCAAGTAGAGCATGCTTCTACATTATCTCTTTGAAAGTGGAATGGGACACAACCTCTGCCAGCTATTTTTTTTTTTTTGTGAACCATTCTATTAATACCAATCAAATTGAGAAAATGATCAAATGAAATTGCATTTTGAGCATCATAAGCTGTGTAATGTCTATTCTGTTAAATTGGGGCCTATAATTGCTTCTCTACTGAAAAGATACAACAAAGACAGCAATCATGGCATGTCATTATCCCAGACTAGAAAACGGCCTTTGCTGGGAGGACTTCAAAGGCTTGTGGTTCTCGAATTGCATTTGGCTGCTATTGTTGAAGCGCAGGCAATCTCGATGAGGTGTTTACACCGAGGCAAGGCAGGAGCAGAGCCTGAGAGCCTGGGTCTAGAGCCATTAAAAAATTGTACATTATGTTCCTCGCTTTGATGTGAGGGTTTGTAGGTAGGAAAGCAACTCAGACCGAGCACAGCTGAGCTAGATTGGCGGCTGCTCTCAGAGAGACCCATCGCTCCCAGGGAACAGCACCACAGAGAAGTGGATGCTTTACCAGGAGCTGACGTGAGTCCGTGGATCGGCATAGACACGCATGGAAACGTGTTTAAGCAGCATATTGCCACGAGGTCCGCCATCACCGGAGAGTTGGGGCCTTTTTCCTTTCTGTGTTTTTTATTACTGACCTTCTATTCCGATGTTGTGAGGAGACTCACATTGATATACGAAGTTCCTTATGATTCTCATTCCTTGATGGCGCTAACAACTAGCATATCTCCCAATAAAAACAGGCCAGATTCTGATTTTTTAAAATGTGGTGTTTGCTTACCATGACTCCAACACAACTCTTATGAATATTATTTTAATCCTCACCCAGGGATATTTTTCCATTGATTTTTTAGAGAGATTGGAAGAGAGAGGGAAAGACAGAGAGAAACATCCATGTGAGAGAAACACATTGATTGGTTGCACGAGCCAGGAACTGAGGTAGGAGCCCTTGACCTGAATCAAACCGGGGCCCTTCAGTCCGCAGGCCGACGCTCCAGCCACTGAGCCAGACGGGCCAGGACGAGCACACCTGCCATTTCACCCCGTCTCCAGGGCACAGCCTGGACTGGTGTGCGTTTGCTTGTTAACTTGCTGAATGAAGGGTCTGCAGTATGAATTCCCTGCTCGATTCCTCATACATTCTGCGTGTGGGCTGGTCCCCTAGCAGCAGCAGGAGGCGAGGCAGGGCCGGGCAGGGTGGCTTTGTGAGGCTCCGCGTGCTATTCGCGCAGCCGTTTGAATTCGCTGGGGGTTTACACGACTTATTCAGCACATGAGATAGTTTGGTTCTGCAGTTGGCCACTCTCTGCATCGTATAGAACACTTAATAATGTCCTAGCAGGCATGTGCTCAATAAAAATTGGATGATTGCCGAAACCGGTTTGGCTCAGTGGATAGAGCGTCGGCCTGCGGACTGAAAGGTCCCAGGTTCGATTCCGGGCAAGGGTATGTACCTGGGTTGCGGGCACATTCCCAGTAGGAGATGTGCAGGAGGCAGCTGATCGATGTTTCTCTCTCATTGATGTTTCTGACTATCTCTCTCCCTTCCTCTCTGTAAAAAATCAATAAAGTATATTAAAAAAGAATTAGATGATATGGAAACCTTTGGCTATATTATTTTTTATATTCATTTTCTATATGAGATTCTCGAGTTGTACAACCTAAAACTAATTATGCCTGTCACCTACTTAAAACTTCATTGATTTTCCATGGCCCCTAATCTTTAAAAATGTATAAGCCCCCCCCCCCACCAAAAAATTAAAATAAAAAATGCATAAGCCCTGCACCCTCTGCTCTTCAGCCTCGATTCCCTCCTCTCTCCTGTGTACTGTGTGCGTCCTGTGGGTGGGCCACG